TCATCATAACGTGTATGCAGCTTAGGCTTGTGTTGTACATGTACTATGTACTAAAAGGAATAAATTCCCGACACTGAATGGAACGAACTATTCCTTTTCCTTTTTAAGACATCGTTCATTTAGTACTCTGTCGTACGCATAGAGTTACTATTCTAACTGGAGTGCTTACTTCGTTTGACATAAAAACTAAAAATATACTTTATCTCTATGGCTTAAAGTTTATTTTTAAATAGCAAAAGATGTAAGGAAAAACGGTCTGAAAAGAGAATGATTATTAAGTGGTGGTGTCCCTCTCGCACATTTTACAAACAAAAAGCAGTGTTGCTAGCTTAGGGNGGTGCGGTACCCCCTGATGACCCTCACCGCAAGCGCCCGCTGAGCTCTATGCAGCAGAGCCGCGTTTCTCGCGGAGAGTGCGGGCGACCACACGGGAGCACCGTACAGGGCCATACTGCGCACCACCCCAAGGTACAGTCGCCGAGTACCGGCGCTGCATCCTCCGACGTTGGGAAGAAGACGGGTCAGCGCACCTGCCGCCCCCATGAAGAATGACAGTCCTAAACCTGCAAAGTATGAACTATGAAGGAAAATCAAAATATAATTCACTATTCGTTCAGTGTACTAAGCTGTACTACATGTACTAAAAGACTGAATTAGGACATCTGACAAATTGTCCTAGTACGGATCGCTCCGTTCAGTGTCCGAGCAAGAACAAGCCTAATGCAGCTACCCACCCCGACATGGTATACTGATGGTAGGGCGTCTTGTGAAACCGTTCGGGTAGGTACCATTACCGTGCCTATTTCTGCCGGGAAGCAATAATGCGTTTCGGTTTGAAGGCTAGGATAGATATTTGCGACTTTGGTCTCGTGGTGGGTGGTGGAAGTCGCGTAATGACATACATGCACCTCATTACGTATCTTTCCGATCCATTAACGGTGCTTTTAGGTACCACAAGCACCGGTCAACACACCCCACTGAGTTTCTCGCCGGTAGGCAGCGGCTTGGCTCTGCTCTGCTCAGTGGGTCGCGTTTTCGATACGGTGGTAGATTCTGCGAAGCACTGCTCTTGCTAGGGCCATTGTTAGCAACACTCCGGTTTGAGCCCCGTGAGCTCACCTGCTTGTTAAGGCGAAGCAGAAATAGCCTCTCAAGGCTATCAACATAGGTAGGGAAAAAAAGATATACATGAGATCCAGTAACCATTTAACGCAAGATAATAGACTATTTTTGTGTTGTCCAGCTGGAGCACTGGGTATGAATACTCCAGAGGGTCCCACAAACAAGTTCGAAAAGGAATGGTAGCGAGCGAGGTGCGGACGTATTCTCGTGTGTATGCTTCGGTGGTTGCGGCCGTTGCGGGTGAACTGTCGGCGCCAGTCTTCGATCAACAATAGTAACTAGATAAAGGGATACGTACAAAATTAAAGCAAAAACTATCCGCGTGAATATATACTTATATAGCTACATTCGTTTACTAACAAACGGAGAAAAAAGTTTTGAAACACTTTTACGTTCAAACTAATAACAACTATGGCACCTAGTAATAAAGTCACAAATCTCCAAAACATTATCTAATACTTACGATCATTCGTCACATAAAACGAGCAAAGCAATAAATTACTCCTGTCACTTACCAATAAAAAGACATATTTTAAACAACTTTTAATGTTAAATCAATCTTAAGGTGCAACAAATAAAGTAACTTTTCCCTTAATTGCTCTGAGAACTAACATCGTTTTGCTTTATTTATTTTTGCTTCTTGAAATGCCGATTTCTATTTACTACAGGAGGTAAGGGAGTCGCGCTTAACACTAAAATAATTTATTAATGAATTAAAGTAAAAGTTTAGTTGTTTACTTTTTATGTTTTGGAAATGTATGTTTGTTAGTATCTATACATTACTTATTATTTTATTAGCGTTACGTTTTTGTGTAATATATATTTTTAAGTTTTCGCGACCAGTGCACATAATAAAACAACGTTTAAACGGTTTCAAGCGTGGTATTTTTATTACAATGTTTCGGCCACATTTCAGTAGCCGTGAGCACGGAAGGCAAAGATGTCCAGTGTCAATAAGCGGAGTTCTTAGCTGGCTTATAAAAGTCATCTCTTGTTTCTCTGGCGACAATCGAGATCCATTCTGCACACGTGATTGCTAGGAAAGCTAAAATAAAAATGGAAAGCTAAGTATCTAATGAGAGTCCAACAAACAGACACAAAAGCAGCATTAACCAATTTTAACCAACTAATTTTGAAGTGCTGCTAACAAATTTTAAAAAATTATTACAACACAAATCTACTCCATGCATTTACTGTTCTGTTAAGCAAAAGTTTGTCCATGTGTTGGCCGAGCCTTGGCCAACATTTGTAGCGGTGGTTAAAAATCGGTAATTTTGTTCAAAATTTAATATTATTTATAAGTTTAAAGCTTACAATATAGTTTATACTTCATGTACTTACCGAAAGTAAGATATTCCGGCCGTTAAATTGCTTTTTCGGGCCTTATTTTTGCAACTTTTGAATACACACTGCGGTATTGTGAGACGGGTTGACATTGGCTGTGTTTGAAGTGAACTAAACAAAATAAGAGCTCACATTTCAAGTGCGCTGTTATTTGACGAGACGGATTTTATGCACCGACCCGAAATCTAGTTACTATTGTTGATCGAAGGCGCCAGTAAAGGCGCACGCGCGGCTTGCCAAAAGGAAAGCCACTCGGTCGCTACTCTTTGAATCGCGCCGGGAACCGACAACGAGAGTCCCTGATTGGTCGCGGCGCGCGATCAGACGCGGCTGCCGACGCGGCAGGCGTTAGGGTTGCTATACTATTTATATAATGCTATATTATACTACACTATTGCTATGCTTCTTCTTCAGAAATGTAAAATTGAAGTGATGAATGAGTTTTTGATTTGAGAGATTTAGGTGGCAACGAACCGGTCGCACTGGAGATTCATTGGAGAGACCTGTGTTCAGCAGTGGAGAGCTATAGGCTGAGATGATAAATACGAAAGAACTTCCAATCCTGCAGGCGGGTACCAATTTTTCTAATGAAAGACATACTTAACAAATGATCACGTATGACTTCCATGGTGAAGGTATAAATAACATCGTATAATAAAAGTCGAACTCGTAAACGTTATAATTTGCGTAATTACTGATGGTAGGTCATCTTGTGAGTTCCACGGGTAGGTACCACCGTCCTGTCTGTTTGGGTCGTGAAGAAATAGTGCGTTTCAGTTTGAAGGGTGGGGCAGCCATTGTACTATTACAACTGAGACCCTTAGAACTCTTGTCTCATGGTGAGGGGCGGCATTTCCGTTGTAGTTGTCTATGGGCTCTTATAACCAATTAACACCCAAGTGGGCCGTGAGCACGTCCATCCATTTAAGCAATTTAAAAAAAGTTGACTGAAAAACTGCTGAGATTCTTTTCCAATTTAGTACGTAGTTTTAAAAAGGCCGATTGATCTGTTGCCAAGAGAACGGTGTGTTTTAATGTCTGTTAGGATTCCTGACTGGTTGTTACAACGGTAATGCGCGGTTATCGCATTAAGCACTGGGACATAAGGAACAAGAAAATAACGAAAAGCGTTGATGTATTTTATTTTATGTATTTTATTTTATATATCAATAATGAAATAATAAACGAGGCTAATTTAATTGTTTGTCTAAGAAAACGCTTGTCTCGTTGAATTTGATAATAATAATAATAACATCTTGAGAGGCTTGGTCTCAGCCAAAAGTCGGTGGTGGCCGAAATGCAAAAAGCAGTCTTGCTGGGCAATGCCCGTATAGTTCGCCGGTTTCTTTCCCAATAGTCCCTAACGCTCCGGCCGATTGTTGCCCAACTCGCCGGAGTGTGTCCTGCCGTCTTTCTAGGCGAGGCACTGCTTAATACTTATAATAATAAAATCATTTATTGCCTTTCACACTGATCCAAATTAATACATTTAGATAAATAAAGAAAGAAAAAGAAAAGGCAAAAAGAGGTGGCTCAGCTAATGCTGTTCAAAGTCGATGAATCGAACAGCGCTGATTTTCAGTCACTTTGATTGGTAGAAATAAGTCCTCGTATTGAGGACGACGAAAATGGTTAATGAAATAGTTTCAGAATCGATAGAATCTTGAAATTCTGGCTACTCTGCTAGCATCTCTAAACTCTCATTTGTAAACATAACAAAACACAGTTTTTTATTTTACAGACATACTCGTCGAATGTAACAATGAATTTGTCCCAGAAACCTCATATATCAGGTATTTAATTCGTATTATATCTATCATAGGCCTTTTTTTAACAACAAATATTGATTCTTATTATTTAATGTCCATTAACAGTTTTGTTTGATCATCTCTTTCCATCACAGTTGTAACAATAATTTAACGAGTGGAAAATTCTGACAGCCTCAGAATCACCCATTAATTAACACACAATTTAATTTGCACTTATCGTTGTTTCTCCTTGAAGTATAAAATAAAAAATAGGGCGTTTTTCGCAAATGGTCAACCTAATTTATCAAGCGGGGAGTGGTTCGGCTGTTTTGTTCTAATTAATACTCAGTTCGTCCTACATCAGTATGTTTGTTGGCCACGATCGGAGCCGTGCCGTACAAAATCGTGTCCAATATATTTTTAAAGTTCTTTGAAAAACTCAAGTAATACAAAGGTATTTAGTAATCTGGTTTGTTTTGAGTTCCAACTCCCGATTATTTTGTTACGCATTCGTCGGTTAAAGGTACCTATACGGTTCGCGCATCGATTATAATTCATTTAATGTTTATAATCAGCGTCTCTTGTGATTACATTTCAAAGGCATTCAATGAACGATGAATATTTTTGTTTGATATTAAGTCGTCTGCTCATTTAAACATCGTTTGTTTAGTTTTATCGTTATCATTTTTATTTTACCACAACCGGTTGTGTTTGTGGATGTGTGTCGTGTGACTCAAAGTTGGGTAAAGACGAATTTAACATTAATAGTGTTAATTTATAAAAAAAACAGTTATAATTGTATTGAATACGGTTCTTGATGTGTGTGCAAAACGAGCTAATCGGATGTCTTGAAGTTGAAAAAAATTACATTGGACACAGATTAGTAAATGTGTTAAAAACATATCTATTTCCTTCAAAATATCATTTTGTATGTACATATATAGCAGTTTATAACAGTAAATAGTGTATACATACAATCAATTAGTATGCCATATACTAGGTGTACACAGCAGTTGACTTTTTTTATGGCTTAAATGGGTGAAAGAGGATACGAACCACCCGGTGTTAAGTGATTATCGGAGCCCATAGACCTCAACAACACCAATATTTCCAACGTCACCCACCTTGAGGCATGAGTTCTAAGTCTCAGTTCTGCAGTACAAGGTACGTAAGTAAATAAAAATTCTCAGCGTGCGATTGAGTGAATCGCAAATCAGCAGTTACACACATAACTACACTAGCTAAAGTAGGAATATTATACCGAGTCGATACATTTCATAACGCCAGAAAAACACTAAAAACATTATCACAGTACACACAGTCCGTCGGCGGTGCTCCAGCGAAACACACGCAATTGTTTTTTTTTTTTGTAATTTTAATTATTTTGGTCTAGTCAAGTGTAGCAGAATGAATATTGCGTGAGTTAACTTACTTATTAGTTACCTCGTCTAAAGTCGTAAGTCGTCTGACAAATTTCATTGACCTTGCCCGGCCGCGAATGAGTACGACAGTCTCAGAGCGCGCGCCGTGTTGGTCCGGCAGCCCCGATCCCCGCGTCCCTGTGCCATTAACGCCTCATTGAAACCGCTGTCCAAATCACATACACATTAACACAAAACATTAAATGAACAAATAGCGATGATAAATATAAAATCTATAACTCGAGACTATTGAATAATCATACGGACTTCTCGATTTTATCTCGCCGATGTTTCGCGTCCGGAGTGCGCATGTGCCGATAACCCGGCCAAATTAAATTTGAGCTGTCAGAGTGTATCAGTGTGAAGTTGCAGATTCTGAATTTTTCCGTCGTAAAATAGCAAGATTGTAGCAGGGCTTCGTAAGCGTACTACAAGAGGTTTGTGCTTTGAACAACAAACATTAGGTTTAAAATCAAATGACCAAACTTGCAAGGTTATGTTTTATATAAATTTCGGCTTATTATTGGGGCTTAGCATTATATTTTTTGTTTTTCCTTTTAAAAACGATCTTCATAGAAAACATTTACTAAGTTTTGGTTTCTTTTGACTTTAATTTTCACGTATTTAATATTAGCTACACAGTTTTTTTTAAATTGTAATTACAGGCCAACGAGCTTACGGCTCGGCTGATGTAAAGTGATTACCACAGGCCTTAGATATCACCTTGAGACGTGAGGTCGAAATTTCACTTTTCACTTTTGTTTTTTCCTACCTATTGTCACCCGTGTCACTATGTTCAATGGCAAATAAAAGTATTTTCTCAGTCTGTTTTTTTTTAGTAATTTTGATGAATTATGCGCCCTAAGAGCCTCTTTAAACCTTTTATCTTTAAACCGTCCATTTTGTATTATATTGGTTTAGTTGGTTTAGTTAAAATTGAATTGTAAAAAGTAGTCAGAATCGATCGCGATATGGTGATTGTGTGACCAAGTCATGAGAAATTCATCCATTTCATTGAGATTCTATAACGGTAGCCATCATTTTGTAGGACGGCTCGTTAGCTCACAGAGTTTTGAAAAAATATATATTCCAATATTTCCTNACCGTCCATTTTGTATTATATTGGTTTAGTTGGTTTAGTTAAAATTGAATTGTAAAAAGTAGTCAGAATCGATCGCGATATGGTGATTGTGTGACCAAGTCATGAGAAATTCATCCATTTCATTGAGATTCTATAACGGTAGCCATCATTTTGTAGGACGGCTCGTTAGCTCACAGAGTTTTGAAAAAATATATATTCCAATATTTCCTATATTTTGATTAACAATTTTCGCAAAACTACTAGCTACTCTTAAAGTGGAATCGATGGGTAGTAAACACGAGCTTCATATTTTATCTTTTATATAAAAAAGTCTGTGTTATTCTTCAAATTCTAAACAACACAAGACACATAATACATAAAATGAGTCAAAATCTTGAGGCGTCAGTGATTAGGGTTAAATTTTGATTGAGCGAATACTAGTAGCAGTAAATGGACTTGAATAATACAAAGATATTTAAGTATGAATGAGTTTAATTCAATATTAAATACAATTTAGTCGGGACAGGCAGAGACTCGACTATACTCTTGCAGATTTCCGTAAATATCATAGGAAATAAAATATTGGCGTGTTTTTTTCCTTTAAAGGTTGATATTCTTTTGTTTAAGTTTGCATAAATAGAGTTAATTAATTACTGTAGTCAATCAAGCATATTCATATCGCATTTGAATAGAAAGAAAAAACCTGAAAACATATTTGAACAAATTACACATTCTTTTGTGACTGCGACCTTAAACTAGGCTATTATCAGAAGTGTAGTTTTTTTGAGGTATTTTCCTTTTCAGGTGCTGACTATATTCTGGTAACAATCAGCGTCCAAATGACCGAGACTAACTCGCACGGCTGGTTCTCAAGTATGAAGAATCCGAGATGCCACGGTGTATCCAGATCTATTTTCCCAAACACGTCATAAAGCACTCGCTTTCCATCAAATTCTTCTTTCTAGTAAGCTGTTCGAGCCTCTTCCTATCACTAGTTTGGATACAGCTCTACTGTGATACCGAATCGTCCAGGGTCACTGCAAGTCTCGTAGAAGAAGCCCTCGAAAATGTTTCCAAGGATCTCCGTTATTCGGATGTTTATAGGAAGACTAGCAAGCTACCGAAGTTCATCAAGTATATCCTGCTATGGACAAGGCAAGATTTTGCTCCTTTTTATTTCCTCGGGCAAGGTCAACGGGCTTTCCTCAAAAACAATTGCTCGGTGATAAATTGCTACATAACAACTGACAGGAAATTCTTCGGTGGCGATCTCACGAAGTTTGACGGGATAGCGTTCAATGGTCGAAATATGAAAAGTTCAGATTTGCCGAGAATCCGTACGGGAAAACAGAAATATGTGTTCTTCAACATGGAGTCTGCGGAAAATTTTCCCGTTTGCAGCGAAAAGTTCGATGGGTTTTTCAATTGGACAGCCACTTATAGACTGGATTCAGATATTCCGTTCCCATATATACAAATAAGAAATATTAATGGTGAGATCGTTGGTCCGAAGAAAGAAATGGTATGGGCGGACGACTTTTCGGAGATTGATGAAGATCTGTCCTTGAAAATTGCCAATAAGACTAAAGCAGCTGCTTGGTTCGTCTCTAATTGTAAGAGTAAAAGCGGACGAAAGAAATTTGTGGATGATTTACAAAGGGCCTTAAATCGATTTAAATATTCTATCGATATTTACGGATCGTGTGGAAAGTTAAAATGTCCAAGGGACAAGAATAACGATTGTCATTCGCTGTTGGAAAAAGATTACTATTTTTATTTATCGTTAGAGAATACGTTTGCGGAAGATTATGTCACAGAGAAGNGTAAGAGTAAAAGCGGACGAAAGAAATTTGTGGATGATTTACAAAGGGCCTTAAATCGATTTAAATATTCTATCGATATTTACGGATCGTGTGGAAAGTTAAAATGTCCAAGGGACAAGAATAACGATTGTCATTCGCTGTTGGAAAAAGATTACTATTTTTATTTATCGTTAGAGAATACGTTTGCGGAAGATTATGTCACAGAGAAGCTGTTAACTGCATTACAACATGACGTAGTGCCGATAGTGTATGGCGGAGCGAATTATTCTAGGTAAGTTTGTTTTGTCGTTTCAAAGAAATCTGTCGACGTACACGGTAACGTAAACTTCATTAATTTTATCGGTGATTATAAGTAGGCTATAAACTTTTTTAATTTCCAATGCAAGCAATGAAAATACAAAATTTTACACACGCATCTATTTGAACGTATTAATTGACAAATATCATGCACACGAAGACTGTAGGTATTTATTTATATCAATGATAGATGTTTCCTATTACGAAAGTTACTTTCTTTATTATAGGTTAAAACCATTTACAAAATTAATTGGAGTATAGAGGCAGAACGAATAACATAATTAAAATGGAAATCCTATGATTGTTAGATGTATTGTGAGTAGGTAGATCTAAGTGCCGTTCCTTTTACTTTTGCCGAGATTTCCTTTCGGATTGAAGTGTGGGGCAGGCTTTTTACAATTGCAGCTAAGACCTCATGTCTTTGACCATATGTAACTGATAAGATTTACCCAGAGGAAGGTCTTTGTTTAAACGGGCTAAAGAAAAAACGGTGCTATGAAAATTTATTGAAAGGTATTTGTGATGAAGGACGGATTTTTTATGGAACTAATTGTTTATCTTTTGATAAACTAAAGAGCTGTTGTTTTTAATTAGAATTAATTAGAATATCATATATTTTTTTAATTAATTGTCAAAAAGGCATGAAATTTATGATGCCATTTACAGATAGTCTTAATTACCGATAGTTACGAGTTTCTTATGAAATTAAAACATAATTCTTCAATCAGGTTTCTTCCACCTGGCTCTTACATCGACGGGAGAAGGTACAAGCCCGCTCAACTTGCGGAAATTATGAACAAACTCATGAAAAATCACAAGTTGTACGCCGAATATTTCCGTTGGAAGAAGCACTACACGTACCACGACCCTTCGGAGGTGGACAACGTCTGTGCTCTCTGTAAGGCATTGAATAACAAAAAAATGGCCAGTCCCAATACTTATTATCAGTTCAGGAAGTGGTGGCATCCAGAATTCAAGAGATTGTGTTAGTTGACGTCGAATGATAGTAACACAAAACCGGACAGTCCCGATTTAAGATAAAAAATCGCCTCTATACAATTTCACCACGTGTGACGTCACAAGTGACGGTTCATCCAAATCTGGTTTTTAACTGATTGTATTTATGTGTTCTTTTGTTTAATGACGACAGTTATTTCTTTGTTTTTTTTGTTTGTGTTCGTGTCTGTTTATCTATAAGTATTTTTATAGCGGTATTCCTAGACCAATGATAGGTTGCATAGCAATTTTGAGGTCGTCTACTGATGTCGGAGATAGTGCGATTTTGTGTTGCTAGTAAGTCACGATTGTTTTCGTCATAAAATCTAACAATATTATTAGTTACCGTCATCCATGGTATAAAAAACAATCAACATATCGACGCTTGAAAGGCAAACGTGACTAAGCGACAATGCGTGATCTTTACAGTAGACTAATTTAAAGTTGAAATACCTGAAAAAAATCTATTTTAACGAATCTAGCTGTAGGATTGAAATGATTTTAAAAGACCTAGAAATATATTTTTTCTGCGCATCGAATATGGTTATTGCCTATCATTTATGTACAAAGCAGTTATTGTCGCTTAGTCACGTTTGTCTTTAAGCGTCGATATATATTTCCGCCTTCATTTTGATAAACTGATATATACACATTCTAGCAGCTTCACGATCGAGGAATGTTTTCTTCTTCTTTCTTCATCTTTCAGTGGTAATAAACACCGAGTGATCGACCGAGCTTACTATATATTTTGTCTCTTTCTATCCTCTTTGGGGCCCGTTTTGAATACAAAATACGTGACGTCATGTATGGTTTTTTGTTTTTTTTTTTAATCTCGCATTTATTTAGTATGTATTCTGTCAGACGTGAACAGAGAGAATCGTAATTCGTTAGGAATGTCTTAAAGTTGTGAAATTTACAAAACAAACGCGCAACTAATCCATAAAAGTCATTGATCTGGTCGTAAAACGACTCGCAGTCTCTCTATTTACAAATTTCTTTAATATTTGTAATTTTTGTGGAAGTTTTTTTTTTTGTAAATTTAATGACTGGTGTGTATTGCTTGCAAATTTACTATAAAACTCGTTTTTAGTAGGTATCATTTATTTGTACTTATGTTTTTAGTGTTTAATAAGAAGATATTAATTATGCAAATAAAAATATTAGAAAATAGTTTTAATACCAAATTACTTCCAAATACATTTTCCGAATAGTATTAAATACGATAAGCTTCGAATGTAGGGAACAAAAATATATTGTTTTTAAAACTTGTGATCGATAAATCTAAACAATCAATAATCGTATAATAAATACAATAAATATTAATCGTTTGAATATTTATTGTATCAGTGAATTTAATATGATGGTTTGTATTAATTTCTTATTGAAAACAGATTCAGTTTGTGTATGTGTAATAGTTAGGATTAAAGATAACGAAAGGTTTGCCATGTAAAAAAAAATTGTATATTTTTGTAATTATAAAATCGTATGTAATAAACCTTGTATTGGTTTATGTACCACGATAAAAAAATATATGATACGGGTAACTTTCTTATAACACGGTATTTTACAACACGAAAAGAATAATATCCCCTAAATTCTCAGTACTTCTACAACGCGATAACTAGATTTTTTTTTAAATTATTTAGAAAATTACATTATGCACTACGAACACACGATATATATATACGAAGAATAACCAATTTAACTGCTTATTTTTTATGTATAATAGGTAAAAATATAGGCATACTTGAGATGTTTCATTCAGAAAAAATACTGTCCTCTTTATAAGCTGGCTTCTAGTTTTATATAACACGGTTTCGTACAACGCGGAACTTTGTAGGGAACGTATCTACCGTGTTATAGGTGGGTTACCAGTATGTAGTAATGTTATAAAGAAATATTTGTTATTCGTGTTGATGCGAACATATATTTATTGCATGAATCTGTATTTAATGTTAAGTAAGCTTATGAATTTGTTTTGTAATGGAACATGCATTAGCTTCTTCTTGATTTGTTTTTCAATCGACACCCACATAGTTATTTAAAGGCCATAGAAACAGTCAAATTAACGTGGGATGTAGACTAACTAGTTCGCGTATCTATGTTGATAAAAAAGTTGTGTTGTGTTTTTAGTTTACGTAAATGCGTAAAAATTCAATTCCGAGCGTTTATTTGCTAGAATTAAAATGAAATTGTTAATTAAAAAAAATTGATACTTATATAGAGGAAAACAATAAAGGTGATATATTGAATAATTGTTATAATATGGTAGTAACGACTATTTTACGACAAAGAAAACTTAATATAATAATATAATACTTGCCTTAGATGATTTAAGCAAGATGAAAATTCATTTAAATTTAAATTTATATTATATCAAAAATCACTTTCTAATTCTAAAATACATTAATAATTCCTTTCGTCGTTTTTTCAAACCTGCAAAACAAAACAAAAAAAACACGTATCAATATTATTATGTTGGACCGTGAGATTTCGATCTCCTATACGAGGTATTCACGTCGATAAAAAAAAGTTTTTTAATATCTTGTTAGTCGAATCAGAATTGGAAGTGCTAAAAAAATCACAAGTCTTCGTCGGCGCGTGTGTGATGGCATACGCAGACATATTTTTGTCTTACTCCATTACCCTAGCGCATAGTATTGATTTTTAGTTTTTGGTAGCTCTGTTTGTCTATGACTTTACTTACAATCAGAGTGAATTCAGTCGCAAAAGGTTCTGACAAGTCTGTAAAGTTGGATTTAAGGAATAATTTCCCAAAAATTACTAATCGAACGAATAATCTAGATCATGCAAACATTGAGTGTGGACTACACGAGTATATGTATGTAGTGTTTAATCAAAAATTTGAATAAATTCTAAATAAACTATTTGATAAAGACAAAAAAGCTGACATACATTATCACATTTAAATGAACGTTCTGTGAACTGATAACACTAATGTAGCGATGATTTGTTTTTCCACAAAGCCGTTTCAACCAATATACCTACATTTGCTTAAAAGCAAATCGAATTACTTTAAATTTTAATACATTCTATTGCGCTGAGTATGTTACTATTGTAAATTAGTTAGCAGATATACAAATGTTTTAATAAATGTCACGATTATTATTATTGATTGAATTTTTTTTTGTTAACTATTTCAAAATTATACCTAGTAACTTAATATAGGCTGTATCGATTAGAGGTGTCATTTCAAAAAAAATAACGAGTATTTTAAGCGATATCATCGGATGTTGATTTAATTTTAAAGAGGAGGGAATGAAAAATAATTTTAGCCAAATGGCCGCCTCAGCTACGCTGGCAGTATGTGCCAATTATTTATTTATTGCTTAGATGGGTGGACGAGCTCACAGCCCACCTTGTATTGATTATTGGAGCCCATAGACATCTACAACGTAAATGCGCCACTCACCTTGAGATATTATTTTTGTGAAAATTTCCGTCGCACATTTGCGGCTGCATCGTCCTTGACGACTTCACGTATTCCACCTTCGAGTCCTTCAATCGATTGTGGGCCAATTACATAATAATATGGCATATGGCCAATGGCATATACCTTATCTTCAACGTATCCCAAAAGAAGTCTAAATGTGTTGAATGTATGAAGTATCATAACATTGGTATAATAACGTTTATAAATAGGTATAATTTCGTCATCGTTAACATAAAAGCAGTTTCTGGACCTAGCCATTTTTTTAGTGGTGTTACGGATATTTATTATACATCTTTGGCGGTGGGTTCCACCATCTTAATTGTTTCCGCAGCTGCAGTCGTGCGGGGAAGAGGAGTCACGCTAAAGCAATTGAATATGCAATTTCGAAGAGGGCACATCTCTGAAAATGTAAAACGTTCAGGAAATGAAAAAAACTGAGTATTTTCTAAAGCAGTGTAAAATTTAAAATATTAAATTTTGAGATATATTTTAATTTAGCAAATTACTGGAATTATTATAAAATGGGAGTAGGTAAACCTCAAAACTACATGTATATGAAAAAACGTATTTGACAAAATATGCGACATGTGCCCTTTTCGAAATTGCATATTCAATTGAAAACCCAATATTATTTATGTTTAATGACTTAGCCGACAGCAATATTGACGTTTTGATGTTTATCAGTTCCGCTAAGCCACACTTCCACTTTTTCCTGCTTATGCTGGTAACCTCGAGGGGCTATACCAGTTTTGCCGAGCGAGTAGGCGAGCTCACGGGGCTCAGCCCGGCGAATTTGCTAACACTAGCCCTAGTAAGAGCAGTGCTTCGCAGAATCTACCACCGGATCGGAAACGCGACCCACTGAGAAGATCCGGCGAGAAATTCAGTGGCCTGAACCACACGATGGTCACTTGAGCTAATGATTAAAAAAACAGTTGTTTTCATTATAATAATTACGTTTTACAGCAATGGGTATTCCAAAATTTATGTAATCTTATTTTGTTAGTGATTGCATTGATTTTGAATTTGAAGTTACAAGTGTAATTTGTGCACTCAAATAATTCGGTGAATTATTTTTAATATTTATTTATTGTTAAATACAAATTTAATACAAGTCTGTATTTATTTTTCTATTAATATAACTTTTCCTGTTGTTTAACGTATATTAATGATTAGAAACACATTGAATTAATTATAATTACAGGGAAAAAAACACTCCACGTTTTACAAATTTGTAACAGTGTTGTTTTTATGAAAATTACCAGATCGTGTCCTAAATTATTTGTAAATATTGTTTAACAGCTTTAGCAGGTATATTTTAGTAATAATATTAGAAATATTAAATAAAATTTGCCTTATCTCGTCGAAATATAATTGTCGACTGTTGCAAAATTATAATATATAAATAAANTCAACGATCTGCAGGTGTTGAGAGCAGATCGCGGGCCCAAGGATTTTAGGGCCCACCCACTAAACGACTCCCCTGCACTCTTACACCCGACGTCCGATCTCCGTCCGGGGTCAGAACCCGGTCAGAGTAGGGGGGTTCCCGCGGTCAACACTACAACCAGACACGCGGCGCCACCCCGAGGACGCCCGACCGACGGGTCGTCGAGGCGATAGTCGACGACCGACGACGTCGGTCTCCGCGGTACGGCGGCCCTGCCAGGCCCCCCAGGCGATGCCGCTGGTGTTCCGGGATACCCCGCTGGGCCAGAACCAGCCTGCCGGGCCGAACGCGATACACCGCCGACCGGGTTGCTCTTCCACAGTATGTTCGGCGACGACAGCGACGACGAAAATGCGTACCGCATCGCAGTCCGCAGCCATCGACGCGTCGTCCCGTCCTCCTGGTGCCAGCGCGCTAGAGTGACGGTAGCGTGTGGCGCAGCCTCAACCCCCTTAGGTCGCCCCGTGACCATCACCGGGAGGAGACTGCCTCCTCATAGAGTTTTAACTTGTGTTTTAACTACACTGTGCCACGTTGTTCCAAAT